ACGGTGTCGTCCTTCCAAGATTCTCAGTGGATGTGACCCCAGTCACAGCTAGGCCTGCCTGCCCACCCTTCAGACCTCAACGTCCAGCCAGCGGCGCCGCCCAGCGTCGTCGCCGACTATTTTCCAAGTTTGGCACTTCTCTGCTCACTGAACTTGGTTCCTCTTTGGCTTCCCAGAAGCGCAGGGCCTCCAATAACTGTGATGGGCTGCGAAGGCCAGCTCAATCCACTGAACAAGGCTTGCAGAGCCTCCAATCCTTGAGAGCAGACCGAGGCGCGTCCTGTCGCTTCCACGGTCAGTACAACTCTGACGTTGGCGCCGCCCGGGGCACTCGGTGACGTCATGGCGGGCCCTGATTTGTCGCCCGCGACCTACGTCGGCCAATCCGCGATCGGCTTGTCTCCCTTCCAAAAGGTCATATCTGCCGTAGGGGATACTGTTTCATTTTATAACAGGGGGCCAATTTTCCTTTATTTACAACTTATAATATAACCTCCTTCCATTAAATGGCAGCCGGTCTGGTCGCCACATATATCATTAGACTCCCTGAACCTCAGAGAATCAGTAGGGAGAGCTGATATGACTCTTTAAGCCGGCAAACGAAAGAAATAGGAGAGGGCACCGTAACAATGAGGTAATTTTTTTTTATTGGAGTTAAAATTAACGTAGATATATGACCGAACCTAACCAACCCTACCTAACCTAACCTAACCTATCTTTATAGGTTAGGTTAGGTTAGGTAGCCGAAAAAGTTATGTTAGGTTAGGTTAGGTAGGTTAGGTAGTCGAAAAACAATTAATTCATGAAAACTTGGCTTATTAGGCAAATTGGGCCTTGCATAGTAGGCTGAGTAGTGCATTCAGGCTACTAGGTACGACATATATATATATATATATATATATATATATATATATATATATATATATATATATATATATAGTACCTAATAGCCAGAACGCACTTCTCAGCCTACTATTCAAGGCCCGATTTGCCTAGTAAGCCAAGTTTTCATGAATTAATATATTTACTATAATTTTTTTCTTATGAAATGATAAAGCAACCCTTTTCTCTATGTATGAGGTCAATTTTATTTTATTGGAGTTAAAATTAACGTAGATATATGACCGAACCTAACCAACCCTACCTAACCTAACCTAACCTATATTTATAGGTAAGGTTAGGTTAGGTAGCCAAAAAAAGCTAGGTTAGGTTAGGTTAGGTAGGTTAGGTAGACGAAAAAACATTAATTCATGAAAACTTGGCTTATTAGGCAAATCGGGCCTTGAATAGTAGGCTGAGAAGTGCGTTCTGGCTATTAGGTACGACATATATATATATATATATATATATATATATGTCGTACCTAGTAGCCAGAACGCACTTTTCAGCCTACTATGCAGAGCCCGATTTGCCTAATAAGCCAAGTTTTCCTGAATTAATATATTTTCTCTAATTTTTTTCTTATGAAATGATAAAACTACACATTTCATTATGTATGAGGTAAATTTTTTTTTATTGGGGTTAAAATTAACGTAGATATATGACCGAACCTAACCAACCCTACCTAACCTAACCTAACCTATCTGTATAGGTTAGGTTAGGTTAGGTAGCCGAAAAAGTTAGGTTAGGTTAGGTTAGGTAGGTTAGGTAGTCGAAAAACAATTAATTCATGAAAACTTGGCTTATTAGTCAAATCGGGCCTTGCATAGTAGGCTGAGAAGTGCGTTCTGGCTACTAGGTACGACATATATATATATATATATATATATATATATATATATGTCGTACCTAGTAGCCAGAACGTACTTCTCAGCCTACTATGCATGGCCCAATTTGCCTAATAAGCCAAGTTTTCCTGAATTAATTGTTTTTCGAATTTTCTCGATCTTTCGTACATTTCTTTTCACTGTTGGTGGTAATTCAAAAATCAATTCTCCAAAATTCATTTTTATTTCTAGTCTGACGCGACACTTGAGCGCGTTTCGTAAAACTTATTACATTTTCAAAGACTTTAGTTTACACATACACAACTGAATAGAACTTACACATCTCCGATTTGTTTATATCTACATTTGAGTGAGGTGGATGGGGTGAGGTGGTATTAATAGGGTATTAAATTCATCAACACAAGACAGAACACGAAACAATGGGTATTGAATGGAAGTGATTGTAGAAAGCCTATTGGTCCGTATTTCTTGATGCTTCTATATTGGAGCGGAGTCTTGAGGTGGGTAGAATATAGTTGTGCATTAATTGGCTGTTGATTGCTGGTGTTGACTTTTTAATGTGTAGTGCCTCGCAAACGTCAAGCCGCCTGCTATCGCTGTATCTATCGATGATTTCTGTGTTGTTTACTAGGATTTCTCTGGCGATGGTTTGGTTGTGGGAAGAGATTATATGTTCCTTAATGGAGCCCTGTTGCTTATGCATCGTTAAACGCCTAGAAAGAGATGTTGTTGTCTTGCCTATATACTGGGTTTTTTGGAGCTTACAGTCCCCAAGAGGGCATTTGAAGGCATAGACGACGTTGGTCTTTTTTAAAGCATTCTGCTTTGTGTCTGGAGAGTTTCTCATGAGTAGGCTGGCCGTTTTTCTGGTTTTATAGTAAATCGTCAGTTGTATCCTCTGATTTTTGTCTGTAGGGATAACGTTTCTATTAACAATATCTTTCAGGACCCTTTCCTCGTTTTATGAGCTGTGGAAAAGAAGTTCCTGTAAAATAGTCTAATAGGGGGTATAGGTGTTGTGTTAGTTGTCTCTTCAGAGGTTGCATGGCGTTTCACTTTCCTTCTTATGATGTCTTCGACGAAACCATTGGAGAAGCCGTTGTTGACTAGGACCTGCCTTAACCTACAGAGTTCTTCGTCGACTTGCTTCCATTCTGAGCTGTGGCTGAGAGCACGGTCGACATATGCGTTAACAACACTCCTCTTGTACCTGTCTGGGCAGTTGCTGTTGGCATTTAGGCACATTCCTATGTTCGTTTCCTTAGTGTAGACTGCAGTGTGGAAACTTCCGCTCTTTTCCATGACTGTTACATCTAGAAAGGGCAGCTTCCCATCCTTTTCCATCTCGTAAGTGAAACGCAGCACGGAACTCTGCTCAAATGCCTCCTTCAGCTCCTGCAGATGTCTGACATCATACAAAATATATATCCCCAAAGATACACAACCAGTGTTCCCAATGCTTATATTCGTCGAGCGCTTACCCACTGCTCCGATTGGAGCAACGTGAGTAGAGTTTGAATGAATAACTCAGGTATTGGTGAACAATGGATATAGCAACCTAGGGGAAAGCTTCCAGTAGCTAGATGGTGTATATCACTGCTAGGTTGTGGAGTCCTTAAAGCCGCCTGTACCCATTTTGTAGTAAATCCTTGTGGAAGGTAAGCCTAGACGTCTAACTCACACCAGGGTAGCGACGACACTGCCGGGATCAACACACTGAGGCCACAGCCGGGATCGACACATTCCGGCCCATTACCCGGGAGACTGGGAGGCAGAACAACACCTCCATCCAACATCCCCACTGGCGTTTCCTGAGTCGTAAAGGGTGGAAAATCATCCTTCCTGAATATATTCACTCGGTCAGCCGCAACCATGGTGCAATCAGCTGCCAGGTGACCCTCCAGACCACAGTGGTACCACGTACAGGGCTGACCTCTATACAGGAAGCAGAACGTAAACACCATCAGGGACACCGAAGATAGAACACTTCATGGCAGGCAGGGACATCGTCAGAGTCCTGGTGCCATCTAGCATCTCATACAGTGGCTGTCAGAAACCTTGTTCCACCAAATACTGAGCACTTTTCAAAACCGCCCAAAGAGCCTTGTCAAAAGCTCATCCGGTAATTCGAACAGCGCTTCACGCACCACCACATAAGTCAAAACCACACTCTGATAAACCGCCCGAACGGAGCCCGCTCCATCAGGCAGAGGGAAAGAACGCCCATCACACTGACCGAGGAACTCTTGAAACACAGCTTGATGGAGAAACTTCACCACCACACGACGATCATGATGCAGCTGAACTCCCATCAGATCGGGCAACTTGACACGGAGCACGTCCACCAATTCAAGACCAACTAACGTGTGGTCCACCGGCAAGGAAAAAACTAAACCAGCCGAGCTAGTCCTCTTCAGGTGAGGCTACATAGTACCCATCCTGAAATGCTCTCACTCCGCACCGGCATGGCACCAAAAAACCGAGCCCGAACCAACCACATCTACTCCACCACTACTCAAGCGCACCACCTGTGGAGCCGAAAGCCAGCACGAATACTTTATACCTTAATTGATGCAATTTGCAGACTAGGGGTTAACTGCCACTGGACCTTCCTTGTTTACCTTTCCAAGGCACCAGTAAAGTAGCCATTAGTATACCAAAACAAAGTCCGAATAATATACACTGTAAGCCACTATTGTGTGAGAGCAAACATTTCATCCAGCTGTTTGTTTTATATTGTGTTTCTTTAGTTACAGTAGTTGGCAGATAATACTGAAAATGTCACACAACGAACAGGAACACATCAAAACATTTACAGAGAAATAACCTCACAAGCAACATAAAGACAACGCAGACACCCACACACACACACACATACGCTGTCAGAGTTAACCAGTATCATTACCTGGCATCAGTCTCAATCCTAATATAACTCAAAATATTTCAAAGTTAGGTATAACTCTAAATATTCAAAGTTAGTATAACTCTAAATATTCAAAGCTAGTATAACTAAATATTCAAAGTTAGTATAATTCTGAATATTCAAAGTTAGTATAACTCTAAATATTCAAAAGTTAGTATAACTCTAAATATTCAAAGTTAGTATTCGTGATCTTTCACTTAGACGTGTTATAAGAAGCTCCAGTACCACTGAGAGTAGTGTCTGGTCTCCCGAGGTGACTACGGGGAAGGTGGCTCCATTACCTGACTCGTGGAGGCCTACCTTTATACACGCATGATATTGTATGTATTAAAACTGTCCTTCATCAACAGATTGCAAAACCCAGAGCAAGTGCAAGAAGCGTGGAGGGTCCTGCAAGACGTTGTGTTCGGTGGGTGAGAGCGTGTATAAGACTGGCTGTAAAGGACGGAAGTGCAAGTGTTGTGTGGTGGGTGGTGGAGGTAAGTGTTGTGTGGCGGGTGGTGGAGGTAAGTGTTGTGTGGCGGGTGGTAGAGGTAAGTGCAAGTGTTATGAGGCGGGTGTTGGAGGTAAGCGCAATAGTTGTGAGTGTATGTACAAGTGATGTGTCGTGCATCACGTCCCCACCATTGCAAATCACTGCCAGAGGGACCGCAGTACCATCCCGTGGAACTCCAAATAACACTATCGCCCAGTGGAGTGGATAACTCTTCTTTGTTCCTCTACTAGTCTGTAGTCAGTCCTGCATCTTGTTGACCTCTCGTCCTCAGCACTGCAGACTCCCATTGTAGGTCATCAACAGTTCTTCAACAATGGTCACTGGAGTTTCCACCCAGTGCACTTCATATAATATCAACTCACGATAGATAATTTATATACAGCCACTGAAAACATTGGGGTTAGGTAGGGAACCCCAAAAGACATTTAAAGTTACAGTGGCACTCAACTATAGCACTACATTAGCACTCTGAATCTTGTCATCCTGTTGCACTGTTCGTTCTGAGCTTCAAAATGGTTTGGGTCCAGGAGTACAAACGCGAATACCGCGTGACCCGCCAGCCATTCCCAGTCATCCTCGGGGCTCTGCACCTAGCTGTCTACATCTACCAGAAGCTAGATTCAGTTTTGCAGGTAGGATGATGTGTGGCAAGGTTAACACGCATCCTCCATTGACGTCTCTTGGTTTTCTTAAATCAGCAACTCAATGATAGCAAATGATGTCGATCAACACCCTCCATATTGGTGAGGTGTCGACTGATGGTGACCTTGGTATGTCACCACCTCTAAGGTGGCAGTGGCCCGGGTGTGTGGTGATCATGTCCACTCCCCCTCTCTCCGGATTCACATAAATCTGGTCTTATTAGTTATAGACTTGTGGAGTTCATTGGGATAGGAAAGCATAACTGCATTAGGCAAATTAAAAAGAGAAGCATAGATCTCATGGCTGGTGAATGAATTCGATTCACCCTGAGGGTCTATAGTGCACTTCATACCTCCAGGGTGTCGAGCACCTCTCTCCAAATTCAAACACACATATGAATTAAAGCATTGTCATTACCTATTGTAACTCACATGATAAATACAGACTAGAAGGTCTGTATGGCCCTCCCCCCCACCTTTGGTCGCTTCTCTCCAGAGTTGGCTCCGCTCTCCTCCCTAGAGAGGGTTGGTTTCAATACATATTTATTGATTATTTTTACTGTCTAGACATATGACTGAGATAAGATGTGATTGTAATATAATTAGATATAAGACTTAGATTATTGGTAGTCCTGGATTGTACTATTAATTATTATTAAGGATTAGATTTATTCCTCACCGGAAATTGATTGATGTTCCAATAGTTTTTTAATTAAGATATTCTTCTCGAAGCTTCTAGATCCTTGAGAAATCATGCACAAAGTCACATAGGCACCAAGGGCCCTATTACGTACGTGATCATAGTGGCATTGTCATGTAGGATCCAGATGTAGGATATAATGAATCTAGAGTGATTCCGATATGACTTGGATATGATATAGAAATAATACATTTCTTATATAACAATATAGATATAGTGGGTAAATTTCCAACAGCTGGCCCATGTTGCTGGATATTGTTGCCTGCCCATGTTGCTGGACTATGTTGCTGTATCATGATTCTGGCTGTCGTTGCTGGCCCTAATTGCTTGCCCTCGTTGCTGGCCCATGTTGCTCGTCCATGTTGCTGGCCCTCGATGCTGGCTGTTACGGCCACTTTGGGCCAATAACCGGGTTCTTGTTGTTAATGTATATTATAACCTCTTCATCTTTATCCAACCCCCAAGTCAGTGGTAAGTTTTCAAGAACTGGCTGGGGTAGGTAGTAGTGCAGAGAATAAAAGGGGGGATAAACAATACACAATTACACCTTCACCAATATATTAACACCTTCACCACTATATATATTATATTAAAGTATTATTACACATATTTACAGTGTCGACACAATACATCGGCAGTGTTCATCAAGTCCCGGTGAATCCACTTACCAGGTACACGTAGTTCACACTTAATGGCAAACACCAGCGAGTTCACCTTCCTGAACATGTGCCAGTCCACACACACCGTATCATTACAATGTGCCAATACCCCCCCCCCCTCTGCTCTCCAGATGCACACTGGCAGAGGGTTTCAGCAACACGCTGACAGGGGGTCTCAAATAATCACATACAGGGGTAGCTAGCCACTTAGCAGAAGTCTCTAGTCGCTCACTAGTAGCACTTCTCAACAGACGCACCACTGTCGTCTTGTAACTCTTCCTAGCCAATCCCGGGTACATCGGCCCATATAACACTGCATAAATCAGCAGCTAACACACTGCTATAACCGATGGTGGCCACCTTGTTCTCTCATAGGACCAAGTCAAGAGTTTTGGACTGCTCAAGGTGAACTGCCCTTCCCTCAGTGCAATCGCCTCCTTATGTCACCTCTGGAAACATAAAACGTCATTAGCTAGAAAGATAGTATACTGGGTGACCTTAGGATAACACCCATCCACCAGGGAACTGAAATTATAATTGTGGTCGCAACCTGAATGTTGTGGGGGAATATACCGGGATTGGATGCATGAGGAGAATTACACAGGAACCAATATGTGGTTATTAGAACCATGAAATTAAATTAAATAATATTCTGTAACTATTGATAAAGTACAAAACTAAAAGCTCTTAGCTGCATGCAAGGTTCCTATGCTAGATTATTAGTCCACTCCTCTGTGACTTTGATAGTGGAAATGGGCTGTAGCAGTACAAGCCCATTACTGAAGGCTGATCTGACTCATAAACTGCAGAACAATTTTTTCCTGTGGGTACACCCACACATTAACTTGTAAATGAAAACAAGGATATTATATAACAGCTCTATGACTGTAAGCACTGATAAGGCTCATATTCTAGGACCTGAAGTAAATGCACGCTCTAGCTTAGCCCTAGGAATATCTGTGCTGTTGCAGAAAAGGTATAAATACACAAAGATAAATGTAAATTTGCATACAAGAATTGTATTCAATAAAATAAACTGATAATTAAAATTTATGGGTATAGCAATTCTGATTATTTGAATATTCGGCAATATAAGCTCAGATACGGCATGAGTAGGTCAGAACTTACTGATGATGAGGCGTTGCCTCGCTGCCTAACGACTTAATTTACATAAGAAAGTATTAATGTAATAAAACATGGTAATTGGCTAATCTACGCTCTAAAACAATTAATAACTTATTCTGAAATTGAGAACCGGTGCCTATGTGACTGTTGCCAGATGGAGTCACTCTTGCTGAGACTAGGCTTTATGTTTTAATTATGAAATGGCAGCTTGATGTTGTTAACTTTATGCCAGAGCGTTGCTGTAAATATTACTAGTTGCTTGCTCAGATATGGAGTGCTCGTTGTTGTGTCTCACTCCTTTTTACAGTTCAGACTCATTCCCAGTATTCAGGGAGCTATTACTAAAGATTCTGATAAGTTTCTGTGTAATTGTTGTCCCCCTAACTCCCCTTGCCACTTCGGGAGGGTATAGGGTGTTTATGTAGCTTCAGGGCACCAATCCCCCCAGCCACAGGGCATGGCGAGAAGGCACCCCTAAGCATACCTAATTCCCTATCAAACACAAACTAAAATACATATAAATGGCAGCTCTCATCACAACCCACAAGAGTGAAGATGATACTAATAACACACGAAAATAACATACACAAAATGGAAAATTCTTTTGTATTGTTTTTTTTCTTATATGGGACACGGCACACAAAGGAAGAAATGCACAGTATATCATTAAAAAAGAACTAACGCTGAAGGCAAAACAACAAGCTGCCTATGCGGCAGGATTGATGACTTGACATCGGCATACATGGAAAAAATTATTCATAGTGGAAGCTCCTAACAAGACCCCGGATCGGGAGGGATATCATGTATGTGCATGGGGGTCCCTCCAGCCGCTGCCTTACCCACTCGTGAGCTCTGGCCAGGTCATCTACCCTCTTGTGAAACACCATTTGGAGAAGTGGTACTCCAGATGACGACTCTGCTTAGATTACCATTAGATTAGATTAGGCTACCAGCTATCCTGGCTGCAGTTTACCTAAGCGAGACTATATTAACCTTTATGCACCCTGTGCACGGTGATCCTGGGACTAAGGTGATCTGCCCCTAGATGTGGTCTTGGACCATATTTTGTAGATGGAATATATCCAGGTCAGGGTTTTCACAGAGCAAATCTCAATGTCGCTCTTGGGGAGTCCCATATCCTGTAGACCACGCACACTCTCCTTGACCATCCTCCTCTCCAATTAAGGGTTATTGACGAGGCGGATGCTGTGTGCTTCCCGGTATATTCCCTGACCTTTTGAAGGATCTCTGGGGTGCCGTACTTGTCGCACTTGCTCTGATGTGGATGGGAGAGTGGGAAGTTATCAGCAGAGACCTGGGTGTCTAATATGAAGGCCTCTTCGCCTTTGCAAGCTATTATGTCAGGCTTACAGAAGGTCCCTCCATCCGGTATACGGACTTCACGTTCCACCTCACAACCTCTTTGCTGCAGGCAGCCAGCTACGAACCGGGTGATATCGTCATGACGTTTCACGTGAGCCCCATGTGTCTTGTGGCATGCCTGGGATATGTGGCCCAGGGTCCTTGGTTTCTGGCAAGCATTGCAGAGACCAGAAGCCTCGGGTCTACCTCTAGCAGCTCTTGACGGAGTGCCTACAGCGTTTGCCCTAATCTGGATGGCATGAGCAAAATCTCCTCCGCTTAGCAGACAGGTACCGGATGCTACCCACTTGTGGCAATATGGAACCTCACAAGAGGACGGAAGGCCGGCACCATCGACCATGCTATACAGTTTTGCTTTCCACTTTCTAGAGCGCTCAGTCGTTCTGTTAGAAGGGGTTTGGGCGGTCGTGGTCAGGTCTACATATCGATGCATTCGCGCTTGGAACACGGGTAGGAGAGCCACTGCCACTACCCCTGGATCCTCCGACTCTACTAACGCCCCAAGCCGCTTGTTCTTCTGTAGGCGGATTGATGTGGCAAAGTCTGGTATTCCTAGTCCACTATCCTTCACGTTGGCATGAAAATAGGCATTAGGAGTATCATTAGGCAGCCGCAGCCAGCCACGAATGGCATGCCACAGCCGCCGATCAAGCCTCGCTAATTATGTCTTAAACACGCGTCCGAGAACAAGCCGGTGGTTCATTTTGGGAATTAGGTGGTGTTTTAGAAGGTAAAGCCTCTGTTGGGGTTTGAGTGGCGCCTTAGTGATGTTTGTCAGGCCATCCTCAAACAGGGAACCATAGGATAAGCGTCTGCCCCTGGCCCCGATAATTATTTATAAGTACTTGTACTCGTCCGCCACACTCAACCTACCGATTTCATCATCCCCGACGTAGTATGCCTTCCTGGTGGGGACATGCCACGTCCTGCAATGGACATCAATCGCTATGCTTAGCGTACAGCATTTCACAGCATTTACATTAAGACCAGAGCCCCGCAGTGTGTGGCAAATACTTGTTATGAGTGTCCAGCAGCCGTTTCTGCTGCCACAACCAGATCGTCAGTGAATGCCAGTGCTGATATTATTTAGCTGTAAAAGGAATCTCCAGTCCTTCACACGAGTTCACTCCTGGATCTGAATACGAGCCGCCTCTGCTGCTGCACGATTCTGGGCGCTTTGGTCCACCAGAGTCTGCCCGTGGCGTCATTCAAGGTGACGGCAATGATAATAATTTTTTTTTTATCTAGACTTATTGTTATGATAAAGTTATATCACAAGATAATTGCTTAGTGGATATAAAGATTACTGGCAGTACTTGATAATACCTTTTGTTCTTTATTAAGGATTTTGAAAATACATCACTGGAAGCTATAACTTTGATTCCATCAGTTTTTTTATTACCTGGAAGCTTCTAGATTGTGGGGATCACATCTACAATATTATATAGGCATTGAGCCCAATTGTGTATTTGACCAATGGTCATACAGGATGCTGATGTAGATACAGTAGATATAATCAATATATAATAATTCTGATATATAGATTTGATATGGAATAATACATTCCTTAGATAATAATAATATTAACATGAGTGGAATTTTCCACATCTTCCAGAGGAAAACAACTGGCACAGAGTCCAATATTTAGTATTACATATGTCCATATACATTCAATTACTCTGGATCAGATTGATAATACAAGTGCAAGTTGTGTTTGGACCTTTGGGCTGCTGTCCATGATGGTCGTATGTGCCTGTTTGGTGTCTGTGAGTCATCTGGAATAAGAGATTCTGTGGGTCTCCCAGGATCTGACTGTAACTGACTCACTTAATCCTTGCGGAGTAAGTGTTTGTTCAATGTCCTCAGGGAAGTGGTTCCTTTAGACAAGACCTTGACTATTCACAAAACCCTCTGGCTATCTGGATGGACGGAGACGACTTTTCCCAATGGTCATTCAGCTCTTGGACCGTCACAGTCTACCAAGACAATGTCACCAGGTTAGAGATGCGATTTATTATGAGGGATATTAGCCTCATAGTGATGTTCTCATTGAGATGTGAAATATTCTTTTGTCCATACATTATTCCATTTTTGGATTATCCTGGACAGACACATATACCCCTGAACCAGCTCACTCTGTCCCACACATGAGGGATCTCTGATCTCATCATACACTAGAGATTGTACTGGAGTCAGAGATCTTCCATACAGTAAGTGGCCAGGGCTTAATGGCTCATGTTGAGTAGGATCATCAGACAAGTATGATAACGGCTGGTTGTTCACTCTGGATTCTATTTCCACAACTACTGTCTGGAGTTTTTCAAGCTTGATTCTTATATAGTTTAAAGATTTTCTCAAGAATCTCTTGACAGTTCCTATTAACCGTTCATAAAAGCCTCCATGCCATGGAGCTCTAGGAGGGATAAACTTCCATCTGCAGTGACGTTGTTCCAGTGTGGAAGTAACTGCAGGATGGGAACAGATTTCCCGTAGACATGCTTCTCCAGCTACCAAATTAGCTCTATTATCTGATATCATCAGATTAGGACATGATCGACGAGCTGCGAATCTGCAGAAAGCCTGGATAAAAGATTGAGCAGACATATCGGGTGTTACCTCTAAATGAACTGCTCTAGTAGTAGCACATGTGAACAAACATATGTATGCCTTAATAGGCTGTTCATCTGCAGTTCCTGTTAGATAGATAGCTCCTGTATAATCTACACCTGTTGTCTCAAAAGGATGTAGATGGACCAATTGTTCCTTTGCTAGCGGTGGTGGACCAGGATAAGGACAAATTCTTGCATCATACCTTCGGCATATCATGCAATTTTTCAAGATTGATTTGACTGACTGTCTTCCCTGAGGAATCCAGTACTGTTGTCTGAGATGTGTGTGTCTAACACTCCTCCATGCTTGATGATTTGTTGATGTGTATGTAACACAATCAACCTTGTGATCCAATGCTTCTTTGTTAAAAGCCATGGATGCACAATATCGAGATTGATATCTGCATGTTTCAGCCTCCCTCCACAACGCATTATTTTATGATTATCTTGGTCACTTTCCACTGACCGAGATCATGGATCAACTTATGAAGGAGATTTTCATAGTCATTTTCATACGTTTCTCTCTGGGCTTGTCTTACCCAATAGATGAGTGGTTCTGGAAAGGTATATTTTATGCCCCTTTTCTTGAGATAATGGAACACATTTTGTGTCACTTTGATTAATTTGATAAGTGAGAAGTAACGAATACAATCTAAGGCTGATGTTTGGACTTGTGGTCTGGTGGTAGTTATGGATTCGGTCACTATGATGTGTGGCTTTTGTTCTGACCAACTCCTATTCATTAGCCATCAATGCCCATGAAACCAAATATCTGCCTTTGCAGAATGTTTAAACGTCATCCCTCATCCCTCTTGATAAGAGATCAGCTGGATTATCTTTAGTTGGCACATGCAACAATTGAAAGCCTGCAGAAATCTTCCTTATTTCTGAGACACGGTTTCTTACAATGGGATTTGACAGTTGTCATTCTGTACCCACTGGAAGACAGCTTCATTGTCGGTCCATACAATTACATCTTTGATGTTCATGGTAGACAAGATTTGTTTGATATGCATTGCTTAGCGTGTGCTGGTTAACAATGCTGTGAGTTCCATCTGAGGCAAAGTCCTCTTGTCGAATGGAGCAACTCTAGCCTTAGAGGTGATTAGATATGATTGTGAAGTAGTCACCAGTAAACACAAGAGCTCCGAAAACTCTGGCTGACGAGTCTGCGAATACATATAGGGTAACTTCCTCATTTTCCTCGAGTATGTGTCTTGGAAAGATTATTTGTTCGAATAAAGTTTGTTCATGAGCCACATCCATCCAAACCTTTTGTAACTGGGGTGGTAGTGGATCATCCCAACTAACCCTAGTCTTCCAGGCTTCTTGCACCAATAAACACCATTTAATTGTTAAAAGGGTTTAATAGACCAAGTGGGTCAAATACTTTGCTAACCTGTGAAAGCAACTCCCTTTTTGTAACAATACAATGGTTTACAGGTACTGATTTGATTGATATGGTATCTGAGATGAGATCCCATCCCATACCCAACATTTTTTGAGATTGAGGATCTCCAGGGTAAACTCTCTCTCAATTATATTATTCAATGTTGCATTATTTGAGGCCTATGATTGTAGTGGCATGTTGGCACCTTGCAATTCATTGTTGGCCTCTTGATATATTTGTAACAGTTCAGTCGTACTGTTAACTGTCCCCTTGAAAATTATCTACGTATAGATTTTGACTGATTTCAGTTTTATAGGGACTGGATGATTTTTGTAGATGAGTGTCTAGAGTTGCTTGCAGCAGAAATGGGCTCGATGCTGCTCCAATGAGAACAGAAGAGAATCTGTAAGTCACAATAGGACTATTTACATCTTTTGCATCCTCTACCCATAAAAACTTTGTGAAGTCTCTTATCTTTTTCCTGTAAGCCAACTCTTAGAAAAACTTTGCTGATGTCAGCTGTGTATGCATATTTGTTAAATCTAAACTTCAATAGTATGTCATATAACTTTTGTGTCAGACTTGGGCCTGTTTGCAGGCAATTATTTAGGCTTGTTGCTTGGGGTCCAGATTTAGAGCTACAATTAAAAACTTCTAGTTGTTTTTTATTCTTTCATTATGGCCATATGTGGTAAGTAATGGCCTGTTTGCTTGTTGTCGTGTTTCACGGCTTCGATGAATTTATTTTATAGCTGTTGAGCAATAATATCATGATAGAGTTGTAAAAGCTCTGGCTTTTTCTTTAGCCTTGTTAACAGAGATTTAAGTTGTTCATAAGCAACATTAAAGTTGGTTGGTAAAATCTTATGATTGAGTTTCCAGGGCAACCTTACCCAATATTGTCCATCATGGTACTTCACAGTTTCTAAGTACTGGTTATATGCACAGACATCATCAGGACTTGGTTGTTCCGGAATTATTCCTATTGCATCAAGTTCCCACAATTTAGGAACGGATTCTAATCCAGCATCAATTATGTGTGGAATGGTAAGTGGTGATTGTTCATTGTCCAGCCAGGCTACAATTACTGTCTCTGCATGGTGTGATTTTTCAGGACTTGAAGGTTCAAGATCTGATACAGGTCCTGACATCAATAAGCCTCCTGCTGATTGGAGTGAATTCCTTCCCATTAAATTTTCTGAATCCTAAAATGAAGTGATGATAGTAGTCAGCTCCTATCAGAATTCAGATATTCCCTATGTGGTCGGAATCGATAAGAGGATCTGCTAATTTAATTACGTTTTCTGTCATGAATTTTGTGGTGGCTCCAAGACCGGTCACTTTTAGGTCTGTAGGAACTTTATCCACCAATATAGCTATGACTGTCTTTTGGTATGTACCTAGACAGACTTTAAGCTTTACTTCTTGATATGTTTGAGGACCTGAATTGGTCAAAAAACCTGATATACTTATAGATACTTCATTTGAAGATTTAAGTTGTAAATCTTCCGCTGCCTTTTTTGTTGATAAAGGTTCTTTGTTAGCCTTGATCGAATATGCCTCTTGTTGGAATACAAGCTCCTTGATTGATTAGGTGCAGCTGTGCTGTAGGTAGTATTGCAGTAGTAATAATTTTTGCTACTAAGGCATTAACATCACACTGTACCATACAGAATTGTACTGCTGGTGAAGAATTATCCTACTCTGGCTTTGCCTGAGACGTAGGTTGATTATGAGTTGTCTGTGATCTAGACTGAGTGTTGATATCACCACAGAGTGCTGAATGATGTACACTTTTACGACAATAATTGCAAGTCTGCCGTTGAGTCTTACACTCACTTGAATCGTGCTTCCACAAGCAACGAATGCACCTGCTCAGAGATTTCAGACGATTAATTCTGTTGGCATGGTCTGTATAAACAGTGCACCTATATACAGTATGTGCTCCCTTGACACAATAATAATTTTGGAGCACTTGTAGTTCCTTTTGTCTTATCTGCCTTGGGAGCTTGACTTCCTACAGTGCTATTTACTGTGGGTGATATTGAATATGAGCCTACATAACTCTGTTTCCACTTTGTGGAAGATGAGTTCTGTGGCTTTGATTTCTGATTGTATGGTTGGACATTCTTGTTCTTGTCTGAAGATACATGTTTTATGGATTTATCTTGTGCTCTAAGTTTCCCTTGGCTCCTTAATCATTGTATGTGAGCTTGAAGTGCATCAAAGATCTGTTTCAGTGAATAAAATGTTTGTTAAAATGGGAGCATAGGCTGTCTATGATCTCATTAGGTAGTTTCCGTTGTACAATTAACTTTATAAGCCACTTTGCACTAACTGCGGCTACCTTTGTACTGAGGGCTTTGATGATCGATTCTATAGACAATCAAAGTGATTGTAGTGATTCATAAGTTGTATTAGGAGAGGGTAAATCCAATAATTTATGAGAAACGTGCAATTGCAGTCTCCTTATCATTGTAATTATCATGTAATAACTGTATGGCTAGGTCATAATCATAATCTGTCAATGACGAATTTACCTGCCAATGACGAATTTACTCTCCTCTTAAATGGTCTTGCAGATATGGAAATTTAGCAGCCTTTCTGAGAGAAACCTTGCTATGTATAATAGATTCGAAGGCTCTGCAGAAGGCATCCCATTCATCTTCATCCTTGCCCTCAAAACATGGTATATGTACCTTTAGGAGCTCCGCTTCAGAATGTGGGACTATTGAGGTACCAACCTGATTGGATGAGCTCACATGTGGCTGTCCTGCTGTTTGTGATACTAATTTAAGTAAAGGATCTAGTTGATCCTGTATTGTCTCTTCGTAGATGGCTGATTCAGCTATGATATCCAGATGTTCATCTTTGCTAAATCTACTTTAGCCATTTTTACTAAATAAGTTTCAGAAAGGCGTTTACTCTGTTCAAATTTGGCCACAGCAGCTTTAACTCGTGTATCCAGAGTTATATAAGCAGGAGATGGTTGACTAGCTAATGTTTGACATTTGCCAATCAGTTGAGATAAGTGAATCTGAAGACCCATGAGTGTCTTCCTATTTCCTGTTTCTGCTGCTGGTGGAATACTGGAAGCCATTTTGATGTTTCTGAGATTAATCTTTTTTTGAGATAAATAAATGTATATAGATAAATGTATGTATTTTTGATAACTGACTTATTCTGTCTACTTAGGCAATAATTTCAAAGATCGTCCTTCTATTACTTTATGGAATCTGGAGTAGCAGGTTGTACAATTATCAAATATGTACAAATTTTGTTATATTGGACCCATATGCACCGAATGCACCAAAGTCAATTTATGATAATGATTATTTAAGAATAGTAAATGGCACTATAGTGAAAATGCTGAGAAATACACTTAACACTCACTAGTATGCTATGAATGTCTTCTAGATAATGGATATAGTGGTCTTAATCCACTGTGAACAATCTGTTCACTTAGGTATATTATAAACATATTATTGGCTGCTAGGTTAGATTATGTATAATTATTCCAATGGAAAATAAAGAAGTTTCTTATGAATTTTGTCACTGAAATATTCGGTTACAAGAAGGACCAAAAATCTGGTCCAAATATGATATCTAAGTTCGAAGAACCAAAAATGTGGGGGAATATACCATGATTGGATGCATGAGGAGAATTACACGGGAACCAATATGTGGTTATTAATGTAAATTATAAATTTAAATTTGCATAAAAAATTATATGCAATAATATAAGCTAACTGATAATTAAAATTTATGGGTATGGCAATTCTGATTATATGAATATTCAGCAATATAAGCCAAGATACTGCATGAGTAGGTCAGAACTTACTGATGATCAGGCGTTGCCTCGTTGCCTAACGACTCTCAATTTAGATATGGAAGTATTAATGTAATATAGCATGCTAACTGACCAATCTACGCTCTAAAATAATTAATAACTTATCCAGAAATTGAAAACCGGAGCTTATCTGACCGTTGCCAGATGGAGTCACTCTTGCTGAGACTAGGCTAAATATTTTAATGATGAAATGGCAGCTTGATGTTGTTGACTTGATGTCAGAGCATTGCTGTAAATGATACTAGTTGCTTGCTCAGATATGGAGTGCGCATTGTTGCATCTCACTGGGGTAGATTAGATGGTTGTCGGGCCACTAGCTGGTGGACCTCCACATTCTTGATTTAGGACATATGTACCAGGAATTCCTCCCTTTTTACAGTTCAGACACATTCCCAGTATTTAGGGAGCTATCACTAAAGATTCTGATAAGTTTCTGTGTAATATCTTGCTGAATAAGGAATCTCCAGCTCTACACATGCGTGCACTCTTGGATCTAAACACGAGCCGCCTCTGCTGCTGCACGATTCTGGGCGCTTTGCCCCACCGGCGTCTGCCCATGGCGTCAGTCAAGGTGCCAGCAATGATAAGAAAATTATTATTTTCTTTATCTAGACTTATTATTGTGATAAAATTATATCACAAGATAATTGCTTAGTGGATATAAAGATTACTGGCAGTACTTAATAGTACCTTCTGTTCTTTATTAAGGATTTTGAAAATACATCACTGGAAGCTATAACTTTGATTCCAGCAATATTTTTGATTACCTGGAAGCTTCTAGATTCTGGAGATCACTTCTACAATATTATATAAGCATTAAGCCCAATAGTGTACTTGACCAATGGTCATACAGGATGCTGATGTAGATACAGTAGATATAATCAGTAGATAATGATTCTGATATATAGATATGATATGGAATAATACATTCCTTAGATAATTTTAATATTAAAATGAGTGGAATTTTCCACAGATAGTGTGGATCTCGATACGCCACCCACCAGAGGTCATCCTCATCGACCTCACCTTCTGAGACAGGAAACCGGAGCCTTTCACCGATGCCCCGCCACCACCAACAGATGGCGGTGTTTGCATCTCACCTAATACCTGGGAGTTGGAGTCCTATGGTGTTGAAACCGTAACACTGGCTCATGTTGAAGGCCCATGTTGCTGGCCCATGTTGAAGGCCCATGTTGCTCGCTCTCGTTGCTTGCCCATATTGCTGGCCCTCGTTGTAGGCCCATGTTGCTGGCCCTCGTAGCTGGTCCATGTTGCTGGCCCTCGATGCTGACCTATGTTGATGGCCCATGTGGCTGGACCTCGTTGCTCCCCTATGTTGCTGGCCCATATTGCTGGTCCATGTTACTGGCCCATGTTGCTGGCCCATGATGTTATTTCAGCCCAACTTTCCCTAATGGACAGCAGGAGCATTACGGTCACATGTGAAGGAAACTCAATCAGGTTGTTGTGTGAAATATAACTGATGTGACCGCGGTAGCAGCCTAGTCTTCCTGCAGCCCTCAGATGATATCATTCAGACGGTCCTGTTACTTTAGAGTCCATGATCTCTAGATGTTTCCTCCCAAGGACTTCCATATTACATATTATGCAAGTATAGGCTTATAGCATGGACACGAGTTCTCCCACATTAACAGTGGCTTGATGAAAAAACGTATAGTAACCCCTCACTATTCTAGTGCTCTTGGGAAGTGGGGATATTTAAGGTGTATATATACCTCGAAGACTCTACTTCTTTTAAGGGTCTGAGTGGTGTAGTGGGTTAAGGCATACTAGTTATGGCAGCTACTGGAGGGTAGTTGTGCTTTCTGGGTTCGAGGCCCACTGGTGGGTGTTGTCCAAAGTTTGTTAATCTTCACTTGTGGTTTATGCAAGTATAGGCTTATAGCATGGACACGAGTTCTCCCACATTAACAGTGGCTTGATGAAAAAACGTATAGTAACCCCTCACTATTCTAGTGCTCTTGGGAAGTGGGGATATTTGATGTGTATATATACCTCGAAGTCTCTACTTCTTTTAAGGGTCTGAGTGGTGTAGTGGGTTAAGGCGTACTAGTTATGGCAGTTACTGGAAGGTAGTTGTGCTTTCTGGGTTTGAGGCTCACTGGTGGGTGTTGTCCAAAGATTGTTAATCTTCACTTGTGGTTTATGATATAAGCCTATACATTAGATTAGAGAAGTGTTTTACTTTTACCAATGCCTTTCGTCCTCTTGACATTAAACTTGCCTTTCGACAAACTAACACACTTCGTTGCAATCTAGTTCACACTGCTCCTCCTGCTTCTAATGCTGCTGGTGTCTACTCTATTTCCTGTTCATCTTGTCCTCTCCAATACTTTGGCGAAACTGGCTGTACACTGAATGACAGACTTAAAGAACACAAGAGAAGTGTTAAGTCTGCAGACACTAACAATGCTCTCTTCTGCCATGTGAGGGATTCTAATCATCCCATTGATTGGACTTCCTCCAAAATAATCTTTTCTGCCTCTACTCTACACAGACGCCGTCTTGTAGAATCGGCTCTTATACACAATGTACCCAACATGAACTTGAGTTCTGGCTTTGTTGCTGTGGACTCTTCCCTTTCACAGTATATACTCAAATGCTCTAATCTTTCTAACAAACGTGACTTAACATAAGCTTACCCCTTCCATTTTCTTTCTTTCTCTCTCCTTTTCTTTCTCCCTTCTCCCCTTTTTCTGTTCATTGTCTTCTCCTACGCTCCCTTGCTATCCTCTTCTTATTCCTATTACTATCTCCTTCGGTGGTTATAATAGGAGCTGCCTCGTATGGGCCAATTGGCCCTCTGCAGTTCTCATTATTACTACTATCCCCTACACTTTACTTTCCTCCTCAGCTCTCTCTTGCCTATTTATTGCCTGTCTCTACCTCCTCTTCACAATCGATTTGAGAATGGTCCAGGACGGACCGAAACGTCGTCGTCCCTTCAACTTCTAGTGTGTGGTCTGGTCAACATACTTCAGCCACGTTATTGTGACTCATCGCCTGCATATATATATATATATATCTTTATTAATGTTAATGTTGTTCATTTCCTTAGGAACAACGGTTTCATCAACAACCTCAAGATCGAAAACAACCTCACGATCAACAAGATCTTCAGGACCAACAACAAACTCAGGACCAACAACAACTTCAGCACAACCAACAACCTCTGTAACAACAACATTACCAAAATCAATCACAACATCTTCAACAACATCTAGCATCACTACCCCCAGTACAACTCCGATCACCACCACCACTTCGTCTTCCACTACTACTACAACTGCTATAATGACAACCACTACCACAAGCAGTAAATTGACTACAACTACTACCACCACTACTATACCAGCCACCACAACAACACCGAAACATTGCCAATTCATCCACGACAAGGAAGGACATCTATCTGGTTTTGAGATGAAATGCAAAACAAAATGTTTTCCCCAAGAGATGGCAACCATTATATGTAAACACAAGTATTCTACATCAGCCTGCACCCCAGGATGTGCCTGCTGCATTGTGAAACATCATGAGACAACGATAACCACAGCACCTACAACCTCAACTGTAACTACGAGAACTTCTACCAGCACTACATCAACTACCACTACCACCACCAGTACAAGACTGACCACTACCACCACCAGTACAACACCGTCCATTACCACCACCAGTACAACACTGGCAACTACCACCACCAGTAGAATACCGGCCACTACCACCACCAGTACATTACCGACCACTACCACCACCAGTAAAACACCCACCACTACCACCACCAGTACAACACGGACCACTACTAATACAACACCCTCCACTACCACCACCAGTACAACACCAGCCACTACCACCACCAGTACAACACCTTCCACTACCACCACCAGTACAAAACCAGCCACTACCACCACCAGTACAACACCGGCCACTACCACCACCAGTACATCACCGACCACTACCACCACCAGTACAACACCGACCACTACCACCACCAGTACAACACCAACCACTACCACCACCAGTACAACACCGACCACTACCACCACCAGTACAACACCGACCACTACCACCACCAGTACAACACCGACCACTACCACCACCAGTACAACACCAGCCACTACCACCACCAGTACAACACCGCCACTACCACCACCAGTACAACACCGACCACTACCACAACCAGTAAAACACCGACCACTACCACCACTAGGAAATCACCGACCACTACCACCACCAGTACAACACCGACCACTACCACCACCAGTACAACACTCACCACTACCACCACCAGTACAACACCAACCACTACCACCACCAGTAGAACGCCGACTACTACCACCACCAGTACAACACCGGCCACTACCACCACTAGTGCAACACCAACCACTATCACCACCAGTACAACACCTACCACTACCACAACCAGTGCAACACCGACCACTACCACCACCAGTAAAACGCCGACCACTATCACCACCAGTACAACACCGACCACTACCACAACCAATGCAACACCGACCACTACCACCACCAGTGCAACACCGACCACTACCACCACCAGTGCAACACCGGCCACTACCACCACCAGTACAACACTGACCACTACCACCACCAGTACAACACTGACCACTACCACCACCAGTACAACACCGGCCACTACCACCACCAGTACAACACCGACCACTACCACCACCAGTACAACACCGGCCACTACCACCACCAGTACAACACTGACCACTACCTCCACTAGTACAACACCCACCACTACCATCACCAGTACAACACCGACTACTACCACCACCAGTACAACACCGGCCACTACCACCACCAGTGCAACACCGACTACTACCACCACCAGTACAACACCGGCCACTACCACCACCAGTACAACACCGAGAACTACCACCACCGGTACAACACCGACCACTACCACCACCAGTGCAACACCAACCACTACCACCACCAGTACAACACCGGCCACTACCACCACCAGTACAACACCGACAACTACCACCACCGGTACAACACCGACCACTACCACCACCAGTGCAACACCAACCACTACCACCACCAGTACAACACCGGCCACTACCACCACCAGTACATCACCGACCACTACCACCACCAGTACAACACCTTCCACTACCACCACCAGTACAACACCAGCCACTACCACCACCAGTACAACACCTCCTACTACCACCACCAGTACAACACCAGCCACTACCACCACCAGTACAACACCGGCCACTACCACCACCAGTGCAACACCGACCACTACCACCACCAGTGCAACACCAACCACTACCACCACCAGTACAACACTGACCACTACCACCACCAGTACAACACCGACTACTACCACCACTGGTACAACACCGGCCACTACCACCACCAGTACAAAACCGACCACTACCACCACCAGTACAACACCCACCACTACCAAAACCAGTACAACACCGACTACTACCACCACTGGTACAACACCGGCCACTACCACCACCAGTACAAAACCGATCACTACCACCACCAGTACAACACCCACCACTACCACCACCAGTACAACACCGGCAACTACCACCACCAGAACAACACCCACCACTACCACCACTAGTACAACACCCTCCACTACCACCACCAGTACAACACCAGCCACTACCACCACTAGTACAACACCGGCCACTACCACCATTAGTACACCACCGACCACTACCACCACCAGTACAACACCGGCCACTACCACCACCAGTACAACACCGGCCACTACCACCACCAGTACATCATCCACCACTACCACCACCAGTACATCACCGACCACCACCAGTACAACACCGGCCACTACCACCACCAGTACATCATCCACCACTACCACCACCAGTACATCACCGACCACCACCAGTACAACACCGGCCACTACCACCGCCAGTACATCATCCACCACTACCACCACCAGTACAACACCAGCCACTACCCCCACCAGTACAACACCGACCACTATCACCACCAGTACAACACCAGCCACTACCACCACCAGTACAACACCAACCACTACCACCACCAGTACAACACCGGCCACTACCACTACCAGTACAACACCAACCACTTCCACCACCAGTACAGCACCAACTACTACCACCAGCAGTATATCATCGACCACTACCACCACCAGTACAACACCGACCACTACCACCACCAGTACAACACCGACCATTACCACCACCAGTACAACACCGACCACTACCACCACCAGTACAACTCCGATCACCACCATCACCAGCACTTCGTCTTCCAATACTACTACAACTGCTATAACGACAACCACTACCACAAGCAGTAAATCGACCACAACTACCACCACCACTACTGAACCAGCCACCACAACAAAACCGAAACATTGCCAATTCATCCACGACAAGGAAAGACATCTATCTGGTTTTGAGATGAAATGCAAAACAAAATGTTTTCCCCAAGAGATGGCAACCATTTTATGTAAACACAAATATTCTACATCAGCCTGCACCCCAGGATGTGCCTGCTGCATTGAGAAACATCATGAGACAACGATAACCACAGCACCTACAACCTTAACTGTAACTACGAGAACTTCTACCAGCACTACATCAACTACCACTACCACCACCAGTACATCACCGACCACTACCATCACCAGTACAACACCGACCACTACCACCACCAGTATAACACCAACCAATACCATCACCAGTACAACACCAGCCACTACCACCACCAGTACAACACCAGACACTACCACCACCAGTACAACACCCACTACTACCACCACTAGTACAACACCCGCCACTACCACTACCAGTACAACACTGGCCACTACCACCACCAGTACATCAACCACTACCACCACCAGTACAACACCCACCACTACCACCACCAGTACAACACCAACCACTACCACCACCAGTACAACACCAACCACTACCATCACCAGTACAACACCAGCCACTACCACCACTAGTACAACACCCACTACTACCACCACTAGTACAACACCTGCCACTACCACTACCAGTACAACACCGGCCACTACTACCACCAGTACAACACCGACCACTACCACCACCAGTACAACACCGTCCATTACCACCACCAGTACAACACCGACTACTACCACCACCAGTACAACTCTGATCACCACTATCACCAGTACAACACCGACTACTACCACCACCAGTACAACTCCGATCACCACTATCACCAGCACTTCTTCTTCCAATACTACTACAACTGCTATAACGACAACCACTACCACAAGCAGTAAATCGACCACAACTACCACCACCACTACTATACCAGCCACCACAACAAAACCGAAACATTGCCAATTCATCCATGACAAGGAAAGACATCTATCTGGTTTTGAGATGAAATGCAAAACAAAATGTTTTCCCCAAGAGATGGCAACCATTTTATGTAAACACAAATATTCTACATCAGCCTGCACCCCAGGATGTGCCTGCTGCATTGAGAAACATCATGAGACAACGATAACCACAGCACCTACAACCTCAACTGTAACTACGAGAACTTCTACCAGCACTACATCAACTACCACTACCACCACCAGTACAACACCGGCCACTACCACCACCAGTACAACACCGGCCACTACCACCACCAGTACAACACCGGCCACTACCACCACCAGTACATCAACCACTACCACCACCAGTACAACACCCACAACTACCACCACCAGTCTAACACCCACCACTACCACCACAAATACAACACCAACGAATACCATCACCAGTACAACACCAGCCACTACCACCACCAGTACTACACCCACTACTACCACCACTAGTACAACACCTGCCACTACCACTACCAGTACAACACCGGCCACTACCACCACCAGTACAACACCGACCACTACCACCACCAGTACAACACCGTCCATTACCACCACCAGTACAACACCGACCACTACCACCACCAGTACAACTCCGATCACCACCACCACCAGCACTTCGTCTTACACTACTACTACAATTGGTTTAACGACAACCACTACCACAAGCAGTAAATCGACCACAACTACCACCACCACTACTAAACCAGCCACCACATCAACACCGAAACATTGCCAATTCATCCACGACAAGGAAAGACATCTATCTGGTTTTGAGATGAAATGCAAAACAAAATGTTTTCCCCAAGAGATGGCAACCATTATATGTAAACACAAATATTCTACATCAGCCTGCACCCCAGGATGTGCCTGCTGCATTGTGAAACATCATGAGACAACGATAACCACAGCACCTACAACCTCAACTGTAACTACGAGAACTTCTACCAGCACTACATCAACTACCACTACCACCACCAGTACAACACCGACCACTACCACCACCAGTACAACACCGGCCACTACCACCACCAGTACATCAACCACTACCACCACCAGTACAACACCCACAACTACCACCACCAGTCTAACACCCACCACTACCACCACAAATACAACACCAACGAATACCATCACCAGTACAACACCAGCCACTACCACCACCAGTACAACACCCACTACTACCACCACCAGTACAACACCCACTACTACCACCACTAGTACAACACCTGCCACTACCACTACCAGTACAACACCGGCCACTACCACCACCAGTACAACACCGACCAATACCACCACCAGTACAACTCCGATCACCACCACCACCAGCACTTCGTCTTACACTACTACTACAATTGGTTTAACGACAACCACTTCCACAAGCAGTAAATCGACCACAACTACCACCACCACTACTAAACCAGCCACCACATCAACACCGAAACATTGCCAATTCATCCATGACAAGGAAAGACATCTATCTGGTTTTGAGATGAAATGCAAAACAAAATGTTTTCCCCAAGAGATGGCAACCATTTTATGTAAACACAAATATTCTACATCAGCCTGCACCCCAGGATGTGCCTGCTGCATTGAGAAACATCATGAGACAACGATAACCACAGCACCTACAACCTCAACTGTAACTACGAGAACTTCTACCAGCACTACATCAAGTACCACTACCACCACCAGTACAACACCGGCCACTACCACCACCAGTACAACACCGGCCACTACCACCACCAGTACAACACCGGCCACTACCACCACCAGTACATCAACCACTACCACCACCAGTACATCAACCACTACCACCACCAGTACAACACCCACAACTACCACCACCAGTCTAACACCCACCACTACCACCACAAATACAACACCAACGAATACCATCACCAGTACAACACCAGCCACTACCACCACCAGTACTACACCCACTACTACCACCACTAGTACAACACCTGCCACTACCAGTACAACACCGGCCACTACCACCACCAGTACAACACCGACCACTACCACCACCAGTACCACACCGTCCATTACCACCACCAGTACAACACCGACCACTACCACCACCAGTACAACTCCGATCACCACCACCACCAGCACTTCGTCTTACACTACTACTACAATTGGTTTAACGACAACCACTACCACAAGCAGTAAATCGACCACAACTACCACCACCACTACTAAACCAGCCACCACATCAACACCGAAACATTGCCAATTCATCCACGACAAGGAAAGACATCTATCTGGTTTTGAGATGAAATGCAAAACAAAATGTTTTCCCCAAGAGATGGCAACCATTTTATGTAAACACAAATATTCTACATCAGCCTGCACCCCAGGATGTGCCTGCTGCATTGAGAAACATCATGAGACAACGATAACCACAGCACCTACAACCTCAACTGTAACTACGAGAACTTCTACCAGCACTACATCAACTACCACTACCACCACCAGTACAACACCGACCACTACCACCACCAGTACAACACCGGCCACTACCACCACCAGTACATCAACCACTACCACCACCAGTACAACACCCTCAACTACCACCACCAGTCTAACACCCACCACTACCACCACAAATACAACACCAACGAATACCATCACCAGTACAACACCAGCCACTACCACCACCAGTATAACACCCGCTACTACCACCACCAGTACAACACCCACCACTACCACCACTAGTACAACACCGACCACTACCACCACCAGTACAACACCGACCACTACCACCACCAGTACAACACCGACCACTACCACCACCAGTACAACTCCGATCACCACCACCATCAGCACTTCGTCTTCCACTACTACTACAACTGCTATAACGACAACCACTACCACAAGCAGTAAATCGACCACAACTACCACCACCACTACTGAACCAGCCACCACATCAACACCGAAACATTGCCAATTCATCCACGACAAGGAAAGACATCTATCTGGTTTTGAGATGAAATGCAAAACAAAATGTTTTCCCCAAGAGATGGCAACCATTTTATGTAAACACAAATATTCTACATCAGCCTGCACCCCAGGATGTGCCTGCTGCATTGAGAAACATCATGAGACAACGATAACCACAGCACCTACAACCTCAACTGTAACTACGAGAACTTCTACCAGCACTACATCAACTACCACTACCACCACCAGTACAACACCGACCACTACCACCACCAGTACAACACCGGCCACTACCACCACCAGTACATCAACCACTACCACCACCAGTACAACACCCACAACTACCACCACCAGTCTAACACCCACCACTACCACCACAAATACAACACCAACGAATACCATCACCAGTACAACACCAGCCACTACCACCACCAGTACAACACCCACTACTACCACCACCAGTACAACACCCACTACTACCACCACTAGTACAACACCTGCCACTACCACTACAACACCGGCCACTACCACCACCAGTACAACACCGACCACTACCACCAACAGTACAACACCGACCACTACCACCACCAGTACAACTCCGATCACCACCACCACCAGCACTTCGTCTTACACTACTACTACAATTGGTTTAACGACAACCACTTCCACAAGCAGTAAATCGACCACAACTACCACCACCACTACTAAACCAGCCACCACATCAACACCGAAACATTGCCAATTCATCCATGACAAGGAAAGACATCTATCTGGTTTTGAGATGAAATGCAAAACAAAATGTTTTCCCCAAAAGATGGCAACCATTTTATGTAAACACAAATATTCTACATCAGCCTGCACCCCAGGATGTGCCTGCTGCATTGAGAAACATCATGAGACAACGATAACCACAGCACCTACAACCTCAACTGTAACTACGAGAACTTCTACCAGCACTACATCAACTACCACTACCACCACCATTACAACACCGGCCACTACCACCACCAGTACAACACCGGCCACTACCACCACCAGTACAACACACACCACTACCACCACCAGTACAACACAGGCCACTACCACCACCAGTACAACACACACCACTACCACCACCAGTACAACACCCACCACTACCACCACTAGTACAACACCAGCCACTACCACCACCAGTACAACAACGACCACTACCACCACTAGTACAACACTGGCCACTACCACCACCAGTACAACATTGGCCACTACCACCATCAGTACAACACCCACCACTACCACCACTAGTACAACACCGACCACTACCACCACCAGTACAACAACGACCACTACCACCACTAGTACAACACTGGCCACTACCACCACCAGTACAACACCGACCACTACCACCACCAGTACAACACCCACCACTACCACCACCAGTACAACACTAACCACTACCACCACCAGTACGACACCAACCACTACCACCACCACTTCTACGACCTCAACTAGCACCCACTTCGGACACCATACGCATCACCATCACAACAACGAACACATCAACTAATATTCACCAAGTGCATAATTCACTTGTCATGTGTAACAGAGCTCCTAGCTCCTGTACCCTATAACCATATCTAGGCCACCGCTTGTGGTGTATGAAGTCCCTGTGCCCTATCCTTTAGTCTTAGTAATTCCTCACTTGGTCAAGTTTCACGAGAAAACATCTAGACATTGTTAATATTAATGATGTTTAATGCCAATATTTTGAGGTGAAAATGTTGTCGTCCTGATGACGCTCTCGGCGTCTTAAAACCA